CTTAGATACTTTTTAAAAATTTTGCGCTCCACACCTTTCCCCTATTTTTTTATTTGCTTTTATGTGCATACATACATATACATAGTATGTATTTGGTTAGCAACAACTTAACCGAAATTGCTTTTTTGAGAGTTCGCTTGTCAATTCATCAGCTGTTGCGGTGTCTTACTACCTGCAAGCAGCGTATCGAGGTCACTTAAGTATTTGTGTTTTATTATTACTTTTTATGTAGATACACATGCGGTTATTTAAATAGATATGGCAATTTTTTGTTTGTATTCTACCTTCTACTATTTATGTACATATATGATCTAATAAGTTTTCGAGTCTTTGCATTAAAGGGTATTTTATACTGGAACGGTGGCTTGCTTTGTGGTTTGAGTGAATTATTTTATATTATGTATTCATTTTAAAATATTAAAGAACAAAATAATATACGTATGTATGTATGTATGTTGGAACATATACATATTTAAGTTTGGAAGCTGGATAACCATTGACCAGCGTACGATTTTTTTATCGTCTTTAGGGCAAACGAGTAGTACATTATTTAAACATGCATCTCTAACTACGCCCACAATTTTTTTTTTTCATTTTGATCCACCGGAGCTGCTCAAAATCGACAGCGAAGAGCTGCAACATCCCATTAACTAACTTTTAAGAACAAATTTCTCTGATTAATAAATGCCCTAACCTTGGAATCTTAGTGTACTTTTCCCCACCCTACCGTTCCACAAATTATAAGATAAACCATCTTAATACCGATCACAGGGTACATAGTACCGACCGTACCAGATAGAAAACAGACGTATTTCAAAGAGAACTCCGCAATGGAGATGGCAAAGTTTCTTGTTATCAATCGGTTTTAGTGTCAAATAAGGAGAATATTAATTTTTATTCATATTCGGTAAGAATCAGTAACGTACCCTGCAGAAAAAAATTGTCAATTCATTAAAATAACCAACTTCTAGTTAGCTTTTTTGTGGTAGTTAGATAAATAACTAAGTTTTAATTAGCTATGACAAAACTAACTTTAAGTTAGTTGTAAAGTCGTGCAGGAGTCATGCAGACGTTATCGGAAGTTGGTTTTCTTTACAAGTTTCTATTTAAAACCCCTCAAACAAAAATTATTTTCTATGCACTTTTTTTTTGAACTTCGCAGATTCTTTTTTCGTATTCAGGACAAATAAAAAGAAGATCGAAATTTTATATTATCAGCAGCAGAATATCTAACCAAATATGAAATGTAATAAAATAAAATAGATAAATAAAAAATTAAAAAAACAAAAAAAATATTTTTTTTTTTTTTTATTGATATCTTTAGTTCAAAAGTAGTTAGCTTCAAGTTAGTTGACACGTAATGTAGAGGAAACCAAACACGTAATGCAGAGGAAGCCAAACAGCCAAAAAAAAATAGTCGAAAAAAGTTACCACTACGCGACTGAAAGTTAGTTAATAGTTAGCTACAAACTGATCCCATTTCCTGCAGGGTACGTACAGCTAAACCGATATTGTCAATAGCTTCATTTGGAGATTTTTTAATATATTTTTAATGACTCATGTGAATTTTCACTGTGTATGTGTTTACTTCGTATTATTTTAATAAAACAGAATGATACTACTACCAAGTACCTCAAGATTTTTTTTTGTTTTATTTTTTTTTTGATAATAATTTTCCATTGTAATTACTCGTTCAAAGTTTTATTTAATTGCTTACGCACATACATACATACAACATACATATGTACATACCTTCATACATAAATATGTACTTACGTAAGTAAATTGATTCCTTTTATTATCATTTATAAATAAACCGGATTTTACAAAAACAGTTTCCTGATGGCTCTGCAAAAAAGTCACGTTCATGGATCCACGTCTGGAACTTCGAAGTAAAAAGAAATTAAAAGCACGCCCATGAAAGTAGATTACGTATGGCTTGTCTTATCCAGCAAATGCAACACCACTTATGTATAAGATACTCAGAAAATCCTATCCAAATTTATTAAATATTAGCTGCTACTATTATTCTTTATTGCTATCCTAACTTATAGGGTAAGTTACTATATTTTTCCTTCTGTCACCTCAAGAAATTGACCTTCCAGGCGCTGGTGGATTTATATGTAATACCTTTTTTGTACGGGATGTGGCAGCGTATATTCTTCTTCTTCTTCATTGACAGTGTTACCGCCTAAGCGAGTCCCAAACAGCACGCCAGTCATTTCTCTTCAGTGCTAACTGAAGGCAAATTGGAAATGTCAAGTGAAGCCAAGTCCTTCTCCAAATGGTCTTTTCAACGCAGGCGGGAGACCTTCCTCTTCCTCTGTTAACAGCATGATGAACAGCGTTTAATGCTTTCACAGCTGGAGCGTCATTCGCACGACGTTACGTAGCCTGCGGAGCCGTTGAATTTTAGTTCGCTGCACTATGTCCATGTCGTTGTAAAGCTCATGCAGCTCATCATTAAATCGCCTCCGCCGTTATATGCCATCGCCAACGCGTAAAGGGCCGTCAATCTTTTACAGCAACTTTCTCTCTAAAACTCCAAGAGCCGCTTCATCAGATGCTTTCATTGTCCATGCCTCCGCGCCATTCACCAGCACGGGCTTGATGAGTGACTTATGATGAGTGTGATTTTTGTATGTCGAGAAAGGACTTTACTCCCGAATTGCCTACTCAGTCCAAAGTAGCACTTTTTGGCAATAAGAATTCTGCGTTGGATTTCGATGCTGACATTGTTATAGGTGTTAACGCTGGTTTCCAAGTAAACGACGTCGTCTACCTTTTCAAACTTGTAACTGTTAACAGAGACGTTGGTGCCTCTATCTGATTCTAATTCTGAGAAGGCAGAACCACGGTTGCCAACTTTTGCATTCTTGAAACCGAGACATCAATTTCAATTCTGTATTTTTGAAATTCTTCTATATAAAATAAGAAAACAATATAAGATTTCATAGATAAAAGCTTTCATAATACAAAAGTTCGATGTTAATACTTTTTAATAATTGAAAACATGATTTAAAGTTTAAATAAAAATCACACCAAATTATAAATTATAAATTTCTATATATATATATATATATATATATGCATTTGGCACAGGGAATTTTTCACAATGTATATATGTAACTATTTACTACAAAAACATGAAAATGTATCTAAACATCGCGCAAAACTCAGGAAAATTCAATAAATTTGCCTAAAAGTTGGCTTTGTTTTATAACAAAGTGCCAATTTGAAGTTGGTACAAAATCGCATTGATTTTTGCAGTTTCTTCCAAACGAAAAATTTTCGAACATACTTTGTGTACTCGTCTTGTTTAAGCAGCCACGGCTTGAATTCTTTGTTTAAAATCCAATCGTCACTAAAATGTTTGACTTTATTGTCGATTAAATAGCATATGTAAAATATACATATGTATATGAATGTATGTACATTAGGCTGGATCAATTTTGATTTTAATAAATCGCATGGTATTTCTTGATTCTGCAGATAAGTCAAAGAGATAGTATAGAAGAAACCATGGCTCGCAAATGACATCTGTTTTGTGAATTTTTAAATTAAAGGGTTAACAAACATTAAAAAGGAACGGTTTTTGTTATTTTAATTACAAAAACTCGATATGAAAGGATCTAGGACTCACCGTTGATTTTTGCCAACTTTTTTTGTGGACAGTGCCTCTTCACATACAATAATGACTTTTTTCCAACAAAAAAAAATTTGAAAAATCGACGTTAAATCTTAGCACTTTATTTTAATAAAATTGAATGTACATACCACGAAACTGTATACTCAAAACCTTCTAAAATGATTTAAATTTTTACAAAAGTTTGATATTTTTTTTAATATTGCACAAAGTTTGAAACTTATTTTATTTTTTTTTATAATATATCTTTTTTTACAAAAAAAAAATAACTAAAATTAAATAGTAAAAAAATATATTGTTAAAACTTGCCAATATGTGGTGAGTTTATAGTTTTGACACGGATTTTAGACGGTAAATATGGTAAATCAATCAAAAATTTTACACCCTTAAATATAGGCATTTTGTATCTATGTATTACATGTAACAAAAGGTGAGCATTAAACGAAAGGATAAAATTTTGAGATCAAGTAAATTTTCCTTTTAAAAATGCGCAGGCCAGAGACTCATTTCCGACTTATAGTTTCTTGTACATTTTCTCTTAGAATTATCTAGAGAAACCGAAAATATCATGCGATTCGTCGAAAAACTTTCGTCCGAACCAATTTGACCACCCTAATATACATATTTTAAAAGTTCTAATTTTTTACAATGAGATCTCTAAAATTTTTTCTTACCAAAATCCGGGAAATTTTGCGTCCCGGCATGTGTTGCACCAGGACCAGGACATAGCTCTAAAATCCGGTACTATCCCGCCGAAAACGGGACAGTTGGCAACCGTGGGCATACGCCAGCAATTGCATGCTTCTGTTTTATTAGATGCTTCTGTTAACAGAAAAGGTGAGAAGCTGTTTTAGAAATAAAATAATTATGTATTTATGTTTATTTTTATAAAAGTTCAAAAACATTTCGTTTCCGTCTTATTGAGAAACTGTTCTATATCTTTCGAATTAAATAAAAAAATTTGGATTTTTCATTACTATCTATGTTTTAAGAGTAAATGAACTTAAATATGAATCGAATTCGACCATCTTTTAGATTTATGATTATCTGGTAAAACCAGCACCTGCCTCGAGTTTCAATAAAATATGATAATATTTACAATTTCCATCCACAAGCGAAGGCAGTGCAATGACCTTTACCGTTTTACAAATTTCTTGATTGCTAAGTCCAAAATAGAACATACTGGGTGGTCCATATCGATGCCTGAGTGGAAGATCGACATATCTCGCCAGCCAATTCGAAAACGCCCTTTCTCAGAAAACTTTTCAAGAACGCCCTACTTCAGAATTTGATTGAAGAACGTCCTACTTCAGAATTTGATTGAAGAACGCCCTATCTCAGAATTCGGTTTAAGAACGCCCTATCTCAGCTGCCGATTCAAAAATGCATCATCTTAGCACATTTTCAATATATGTACTTTCAGCTGAGATAGGGCGTACGTTAGTCCCCTAGTTTCATGAGTAAATAGACTTTTTCGCGTGTTTGAAATTTTTTCGTGTCTGTCTCAACGGTGTTAATGGTTTATTCGAAAATGCAAGGATTTCCATTATTTATGGAACATGATTTCATTCATGTCGATATCTCCGCTGGCTTCGCAGTAACGCATCCTGTGAATGCAGTTTTCCAAGACCTTAGTGACGGTTTCTGGATCCATCCCAAGAGTGGCTTGCTCGACATTCATCTTAAAGCTTTTAATGGATAACATCGGTCTTTCACGACATCCTCACAACAAAAGCCTAAGGCGTTAAATCGCCGAGAAGGCTGAAACAAGATTACCGAACTTGGTGCGCAAAACATTGATTGTGGCATAGACTGTGTGCCATGACGCGTGATTCTGCTGTATCCATAAATCCTTTAAGTCCATGACTTCAATTTCCTGGCACAAAATATCGCTTATCGTGCCTCTGCAGCGGTCACCGTCAATTATGGCCTCGCTCCAAAACTCGCACCAAACTGTCACTCTCTGAGGCCTATCGACGATCATTTCCGATTATTTCGATACCCATATGTGGCAGTTTTGATTGTTAACAAAGCCGCCGGGATGAAAAAATCCTTTTTCTGTTTCGTTGTATTATTTCCCAACGTTGTTCAAGCGCAAAGCGATTCATTTCATGCCACGGAGATATGATACTGACTTTTTGTCAATATTTCCATTGGGAAAGAGCTGTCACTCCCAATATAACGTAGATTAAAAAAACACTGTATGGACCACCTTTTAAGCGAATTTTCAGCTAATTTGGAGCTCGATTACTATTTTTGCCGCAGCTTATATGGGGACGTCCCACTGTGAAAACACACCTCACGGGAAAGTTTTAGAGCTTGTGTAGGTCATAAATTTGCGTACATGATTTTAAATGTGAATCAATGCCTTGTTTTTTTTTTGTGTCACATCCTTCTCTAGCCAGAAAAACAAATCGCTAAAGCATTCTTCTTGCATTCATTTCAGTCAATGGAGTTCCAGAAACAAGCACACGTTTATTTAGGCAAAAAGGCATCGAAATTACTCAGTTTTTTCTTTGACGCTCGAAAAAATATACTATTTTTATAACTTTGGGAAGTTTTCAAATAAAATGTTCGTATCAAATGCAATGGACGTTGGCATCAAATACAACATATCTGTGAAGCTTCAAGAATGTGCCACCAAATTAAAAAAAATGGCAGCATGCAGAAAATCTGTCTCAACTATTTTGTAATTTTTTAAATTCAACGTTTTCCTCATGTTATTTAATAATTTAAGAAACTGCAAAATGTTAAAATTAAACGGACAAATGTTATTCTAGTGTGTCACCAAAAAATTACATTGACTAGAAGATAACTAAGATTTCAGAAACTAAGGGCCAGTTTTTCAGTGCACGGCCGTGGTTTAAACTAAGATTAGCCAATCAGATGTCAGCCAGCTGTTCAATTTGAACTCAGTTTACTTAATTTATGTTTAAACTGGCACTGAAAAACTGGCCCTTAATAACCTTTTTTTTTTAATGACATACTTGAAATGCGTTCTAAAATTATTATATAAATCAAGAAAGTTATATACTATATGAGCATAAGTAGTACTATGTAAAAATATGCCACGCAAGTATTTAATTACTTTAAAATTATATGACTTTTAAGTTAAGGCGGGCGAGTTAACGTGGTTGCTGTTTGTGTATGGTGCCACGAGGCGTATTTTTACTCTACTTATATATTTTTTACTATATATTTTTTAAGTTTCAATTTAAAAACAATTTCGCGATTGAATCTCATTAGTTAGGAATAACGGAAGAAAATGCATTGTCTAAGATAAGTGTGCCACCATTTTTGACCAAAAACATGTGTTTGTCGAAAAATTTTATAATCCTGAGATTTGCTCATATATGTATCTCCTCAGTACTGATCTCCTTGTTTGGAGTTGCAACATGAATTCGGTGGCGATTAAAGAATATTTTCTTCTTCTTATTTGACGATTAAAGAACACATTCAACAAAATCCACCGATATTAAAAATCTCCAAGTCTTAGTCGTTTTGAAGCACGTATAACATACACATTGTAGCACGTTCACACATCCACATTACATTATACGATTCCTCTTACTCGTTGGTATTTTTAATCATCTTTTGCACTGCTTGAAATTTAACTTTCAAAACTAAATACATACATACATATGTACGTACATATGTAGAGTCTCACTGAAAGTAAGTATAATCAAAAACAAAAAAAAAAGTTTTCACGAAACATTTTACTCACTTTGTGGCCATGCAAGCCGATTAACTCACTATTTTGTTTATTATTTCCATGTATTTATTTGCTAATAGCTCTATGTGTGTATGTGTATGTGGGATTTAACGGTTTGGCATATCTTATTTTAATACACTTTCATGTTGCAATATTTCCTGTTTTACCTAACCTCTTTTAGGCTATGTCTGATTTTCTATGAATGCATACAGACAAAGCCTAGTAGAGGCTAGATTCAGTCCAAGAATGATTTAAAGTTGTATCCATCGGCGCATCGGCGTTGAGGCTGAAAAAAAAACACTTTCCTCCATACTTTAAAATGTCAACAGATACGAAAACGCGTACACAAATATACATAAAAACATGTAAGTACAAACATATGGGCACACTGGCTTATCAACTTCAGCCTTACCCGGTCACGCACTTAACACGTTACAGTAACAAAAATTGGCACACACGCGCAATAAAAAGCAGCAAAAAAAAATCAACGCAATCGCAATTTAACAACAAATACCATGAAAGCAAAAAAAAAAAAACAAAATCAAAAAACGCTCCGCAAGTGAAGAAAGTAGAAAGTGTGCACGGCCTCTAAAAGATTACAACAACAAGAAATAATAATTACGAAAAAAAGAAGTGAAAAAATCGCGCGTAAATACATTTTGCAACGCTTCAATGAGCAAAGCTAAATAAAGCAACTTTTCATTGTAGAAGAAAATTGAAAGAAACAGTAAATCAGTGCAAAAAGCAAAAGTGAAGCGCTTTGCTGTAGTAGAGAGGAAAAAGTTCATCAACTAAGTAGCATTTGTTGCTTTTAATTTATAACAGTAAATAGAAAGCAAAAACCAGGTCGAGCAACGCCCACTTCAAGTCGGTCAGCGGACAAGTTGGCAACAACAATAACAACCAACAACTGCTCAACAATGAAAACGCTGAATTTCGCTATACATAGTTATATGTACATACAGACATATACATACTAGTATATACACACAGCTGCACATAAATATGTCTGCGCAAAAATCAACCGGCAGCTGTTGTGGCGCCGATATTGCGCCTCACTGATCGGATGATCGTGTGCTGCGCGCGTGCCCCCACCGCCCATTGCCCCCCCACCTGCACAGCGTGTTGTTGTGCTTTTCAAAGTACACGCGCAGCACTTTCACTTTCCAACAATAAACGCAACACAAAAAGCAATGCAAACGCGAGCGAGTGCACACGTACTACACAGCAGCGAATTTGCAATAATGAAAACGGCGAGACTTTTCTACTTACTCGTGCGCTAAAGGTGTACAGTGTGTTGGAGCTGCTGAATTTGTGGTAAAATGTTTTGTGTTTAAATAAATTACTTAAAAATTTGATAACGGTGGTTTTTGTTGAATTAGCTAAGTACATACATATACACTAGGGTGGTCCTTAAAATATCAGCATCATGTGGCACCACTTTATTTTGTTCTATGTACAAAATAAAAATTTAAAAAACGAAAATTTCAAAATTAAAAAAAATATATTAATTATCGAGCATACTAGAATACACAGCCGGAACAAAGTATTGGCACAGCAAATTTTTCACAATATATCCAAAAAATTCTATTCTAGTATTTTTTCGCCAATTTTGTTTGTGTTTTCTTTTGGTATGCAGTTTTGCAGCCCATTAAATTCTATTAAAAAAATGCATGTTCGGAATTAGTTAAAAATCGCATTGATTTTTGAGAATTTTTTTGTTGAAGGTGTTTTGCATTTTTTCCATATAAAGAATTTTCGAAAAAACTTTTTTGTATGGAACAATGTTTTCCAGAAATATTTGCCATGGATGAAGGACGGCCATGGTTGGGTCATCTCTTACAGCAAAGTCGAAGTAAATTTCCAAGAGATGAGGCCGCTGGTGCGTATATAGGGAGGTTTCGATATTTGCCTCAATCAAAGACCAGATCATATCGATGGCTGAGTGGAAGATCGACCTATCTCGGCAGCCAGTTCGAAAACATTCTATCTCAAAAAATTTTTCAAGAACGCCCTATTTCAGAATTCGTTTCAAAAACGCCTTATCTCAGCTGCCGATTCAAAAACGCCCTATATCAGCATATTTTCAATACATTTTGAAGTGCGATAG